CGGGGACCCGCGTCAGCATCCCCAACAGCAGCAGCGGGCCGTACGGCTCGCAGGACTCCGTGCACAGCAGCCCCGAGGACGGTGGCGGCGGCAGCGGTGGCGGCAGGGACCGGCCGGCGGGCGGGGGCTCCGGCGGGCCGCGCCTAGTGATCGGCTCGCTCCCGGCGCACCTCTCGCCGCACATGTTTGGAGGTACGGCCCTCTCCCCGCGTGGCCCCTGGCCCCCTGCTCTGGGGAGCGTCACCCTCGGCCTTTTCTCCTAGAGCCCGGCGCGCCCGGTCCTTCCTGGGGAGGGGCAGGAGAGTCGCGCTTGGTCCTGCGGCCCTGCGGCCACCCGCGCGCACCCCGAGCGCCCTCCCCTGTAGGCAAAGACCTTTTTTCCCTGTGAAGTGCGTGCAGCAGGCATTGTTGTAAAACAAACCAGCGAAACAGCCCTCGTGGTTGTGGTTTTCAGTACCAGGAAGTCAGCGGGAGAAACCTATTGCTAAATGTAGTTCTAACAGGAGGCTGAATAGTGAGCAGTTTTAAAGGCCGAAAGTCAGATGAACGTTTCAAGTATTTGAAAAAGGAGGAAGTTTTCTCCTTTAAACCGTCTTTTAGTATAAAGCGTCAACCAAGACTCTGTAAGTACTCTCACCTACTTTGTGTAGGACCATTCTTTGGGTGCAGGTGTCAGTAAATAAGTGTGTTTTTTAACCCCAGTAAACTGCTACTTTAAGTACCGGTTAATGACCGACCTGCTTAGCAGGAGCGTTCAAATAGAGAACAATTTCTTCCGTAGGTACTAGGGAAATTATTCCAACTCTGCTCACAAGGTGCAGTAATTGGCTACGTTCTTTTGAAGAGCAGTGTTGGCTCGAGCTAGGGTAAAGTCACTGGTGAAAAAGACAATAGCAAAGTAATGTTTTTGAAACACAGAACAGGAGAGAGGGTGACTTGCTGTGAGGAAAATAAATTCTTTTAGGGTGGTTTATGCTGAATGTAGACCACTTTCTTCCTGTGGAAGGTAAATATTCCTGTATCATTGCATTAATGTCTGATACTAAATTCACAGTGGAACACGGGAGCAATGAAAACACCATTCCCTTCATTTTTTTTATGGTCCTTTACTCATGTACTTATGAATGTAAGAACTTTAGGGAGTTGGTAAGTTGGTATGTAATTTTATCTGTTCTTGCATTCCATCACCATTCACACTAGTTGAAGTTAAAAATAAGAATGGGATGTTTAATTTTCCATCATTTTATTATCACTTTGAGCGTTCAGTGTGGGGCATTTGACTTTATGTACTTTAATTACTTGTTTATAGTCATTTTTGTGAAGTAAAAATATTGACATTTCCTAAAATTGGATTATTTTTAAAAATCTTTTGGGGCCGGCCAAATAGCTCAGCGGATTAAAGCGCCTGCAAGCAGGCACAGGGCTCTATTCCTGGGCCTGCCCTGCCGGCCCTGCCCCTGGGGCGCGCTGAGATGTCAGTTGAGACTGGATGTGGTGGCACTTGCCTGTAACCCTAGCTCTTGGGAGGCTGTAAACAGGCGGGTCACTTTGAGTTTGATGTAGTAGTGAGACCCTGAACGCCCTGTAGACTCTTCCCTAAAATACAAAACAAAACAAAACAAAACAACTTTTGGTTTTGAGGTGAGCCAGTAGCACCCTGGTGATTTGATCACAGCTAATATAGTTGAAAGTGCTGTAAAGGAGTTTCTAGAGAATTGGAGATTACTTCGAGAATAAACTGTAAAAAATACTTCTTTTCAAGAGGAAATTTGCATACAATTTTCAAAAGACAACTATATAAAAGCTTGCTAAAGAAGACTTAAAAGCTTTGTGAAAGTTAATATTTAATACATAGGTTAGTACTTTGGTTCATTGTTTTGTTTTGGTTCATTTTTTAAAGAGCTGATAATTTTCCTTGACAAAGGTATATCTGTGTGAGTTTATTAAAGTAAATACATTCCATTCAGACGAGGGGCAAAAAGTTGACAACCAGGCTGTTCATAGTAAATTAGGAAGTGGGAAAGACCTCTTTGCTGAAAGTTGAAAGTAAACCATTATTTTTTTTTTTTTTTTATAAAAGAAAACTAAATACTTAGATTGGTGCATACTTACTATATAGTTCTTAGTGCTGTTGGATGAGAAAGCCTGGGAGCAGGACAGTGACACTGAAAAAAGAACTTGTGGCATCCTTTTTTATGTAGGTCTGTGCAGTGAATGGAGCACTCACATACCCGGTTTCCATTGTATGCAGTGAATTTAACTTTTTTCTCGCAGTGTTTAGAACATTTCCAGTTTTGTGTTATTGGGACATTTAAGAAAACAGTCATTCAGTCTTTCAGATTCACATGAGAAATCTCAGTTGGGAAGGTTTCTGGAACAGGATCAGAGAAATTACCTGTACTTAAAAGGATCAGATTAGAGTGAATAACTTTTTAATACTTGTTGAGCCAATGAGATGGAATAGACTTACATAAAAACTCATCTTTTAGCAGTATTGCTTTTTTAGGGGGGGCGGGGGCAGAACCGGGGATTGAATTCAGGCCCTTGCACTTGCCAGGCAAACACTTATTTTACTGAGCTATCTCCCTGGCCTCAACAGCATTGCTTTAATGAGGTTTTTATCTGGATTTCAGCAGATGGTTTTATGAAGAAAACAGAAGCATATTTCTCATCTTTCTGATAATTAGGGAGCTGGATTGATAAACTATATTATTTTAAAAATTAAACTTGATTATATTTTACATTGACTTTAGTTTTATGTGTTATATTAATGTGTTTTTTAAGTTACAGACTCAACAAATGTTTGGCCTTTTATAAGAAATTTCATTTGAAAATTCAGAAAAATATTTCTAAATTAATAGAAAATCTTAAGAAATTTTATAAAATAATGATTTTATTATTTCTTAAGAAAAGGTAAAAAATTTCAAAATTACCTTTCTGTTGTAGGCAATTATGAAAATTGAAAACTTAATACCACTTTTTTGGTTTAGTTTTTAATCTTAGGAGTCTAGCAAGTTGATTTATTGGTAGTTCTATCGTAATTGCTGAATTAAGCTTTTTTTGTGGTGGTTTTATGTCTCATTTTATTTTAGACATATATTTAACTATATACATTCTTATTTATGTCTCCCAGAGAACTGAAAAATACCTTATCCCAGTATTCCAGTGTGCAGAAAATTTCATAGAATGGAATCCCTGGACCAGACTAAGATTTGAATTTATATAGGAATTTTTAGATGAAATAGTGAAATGGGTCTTTGTTGTGTTTGTTACTCTTTCCAGACTGGTGAGTTTAAGACTCTTAAGATGAACAGATGTTCTTTTTTGATTACTGCTAATATTGTCCAGTACCTTTGTTTTAAAATTGGTCTTTAAGCTGGGCATGTTGTTGCATTCATATAAGCCCAGTACCTGGGAGACAGAGGTAAGAGAATCATCATGAGTTCAAGGCCAGCAAGGGTTATTCACTAGATCCTGTTTAAAAAGAACCAAACAAGAACATAAAATAGGTGTTTAGTGGCATAGGCTAAAATTTAAAATCCCTGGTGTAGTGTTTTAGGATTTTCTTGATTTTGGTTTATGTCTACATTTTTCCATATTAGTTGCTAATATTCATAAAACAATATGAGATGGTAAATAGCCTTCAGTAGTACAACAGGATAGAAAGGTGAATTAGACAATGAGAATATGCCAGTGAATGGATATTGTTTCTGGAGAAATTATGTGAATTTCTGAAATATATCCATGACTGGAAATTAAAATGTAAAATGAATTAATACAGCCAGCCAGTAGTACCATGCTGCTTTGGGCTGCCTAGTTGTCCTGAGCTTTTTTGGGTATGGTTTGCCCATGTATGTCAGTAGTCTGATTTTAATTCAGGTTCCTTTTGTTAGTTATGAAACCTCTTTCCTTACATTGAAACAGTGTAGGTTATTTCTTAAAATTTACTGTGTTAAATAAGAGCTGCATTTCTAAGAAGATTTACTTTTTAATTCAACATGTGAGGTTTTATGATGTCGATCATTAATTAGCCATTATCAAATTGTTCTGTCATTGCTTCTTATCAGAATTAACTGCCAAAATATTTGAATTTGGTATATGGTAATTAATACTGCTTGTTATCAGTCAGTGTTCTTTTTATTCTCTTATAGGTTTTTATGGGGAATGGCAGGAGAGTAATGTCTTGACTCCTTACTAGGAAAAATGATATTTTTAATTACCATCCCTGCCACCTCTCTAATGGTTAGTATTTCTTCCCGTAATCTCCTCTATCTTTAAACACAACAGTGGATAACTTATGTTGCATGCTAAAGTGTGGCATCTGTCATGGAAGTTTCTGCTTTGGGGGACTTGTTTTGAAAGTACTATATTTTGACTGCAGGGTCAGTATGGGCTGGACAGAGAAGTGGTGTGAGTTGCACAGGGCCCAATCTGATCTGGGAGCGGCTTGACCTAAGTGTAGTACCTGTGTGCTTTGCTGGCTGCTGTAGTTCCTGCAGGAGAAAGAGTGCTCTTGTTTTACTGACATGGTGTCTCTGCTGCCAGCAAATCCTCCTGCTTTGCCTAGTGACCATTAAGTAGATTATTTCTGGCTACCAATATCCTTAATTAAATATCCATTTTTTCATGTCTTACACATCTTTGCTTATAAGGAAAATTGCATTAATACACTTACTGCATACACTGTATTTGAATTTGGGCATACAGGTTAGTGGGTTAAAATAAGGACTGCTTTATGTAGCAGAATACTTTCTAAGACTTAGTCTTCTTATTATGTAACTATTCCTGAGCACTGTTTTTGAAATATGTTTTGAAATGTTAGTCTGTATAGTTTGCATGTACTTAATTGATTTCACATTTGTGTTTACAAATTGGAGAAAATATAGCCCTTTTTGTGAGTATATGATTCAGAAATATCTTAATTTCTAATTGTTTTCTTTGCTGCTTATTGTCGAATTACTATGAGCTTAGCTGCATGAAGCAAAGACACTTCTTAGTTTCTGTGGGTCAATTTTCTACGTGTGACAGTGTAGCCTGGAAACTACAAGATTTCAATCCACATATTGGCCAAGACTACATTTGTACCTATAGACTCAGCTGGAAAAGGATTGGCTTCCAGATTCCTTCAGACTGTGTGGCAGAATTCAGTTCCTTATGGCTTATAGGTTCGTGGCTTTCTATTTCCAAGCCAG